CTGAAACATGTATTGGATACTGTGCAGACATCAGTGACAGTTCCTGCCCTGAGGGTCCTGTAACTTCTAAACCAGCGTAGAAACCTAATAGAGGACGCAGGAAAACATCCTCCTGCATGGAACAACATGAGCATGTACATATGAGTTCAGGCTGTGTATGGATTTGGATCATACCAGATGAGCTCACTGGGGCCTTGTTTTTGCAAGCGTTACCTTAAAAGAGCAGTTGCGATCTGTGTGTTTTGAAATCGCAGCATGAGCAAAGGACAGAAGAACTTCTGATGCTTTGCATCGCTGTTGGAAAACAGGCACGGGGCTTCATAATGAAAAATGGAGCTTTTTCTTTTAGGTGCCTGGCTCAAACTTGGCCCAGGAAGTAAAGAACAGAGACTTGCAATTGAAAAGAGTTGGCAGTTTTTCTGCTAGTTTACAGTGAAAGGGTTCCCAAATTAGCTTCCTTGAGAATTTGAGGAGACAGAAAACATGAACTGATTTTTCACTTATGGGTCAAGCTGGAGTTACTCTGCCAGGAGTCAACACAAGGACGCTTTGCTGTGCCCCCCTGGAGACGTTCCATCAACTTCAGTAGACTTTGAAATCCTTCAGGCATTCTGCATCCTACAACCTCCACAAAAGTCTTCATTTGAAGCTAGTTCTGAAGTATCTATTCATCCTGAATGAATGGGAGAGAGAAGTGTTTTCTTGCTTCCCCCACTCCTACTTTTAGGGTGTTTCTAACACCAGTGTCAGTTACAGCTGCAACTTAATGCAGTTTCTCTTTGCTTATGGGTGTCTCTGTCCAGCTAGTTAGCTTCAGCATAATTTTTTCCTGTTCTGTCTGTGAACCCATGAAAAACTCTCCTGTGTCTTTTGTTTCTTATGCACATACCCTCTAGCTTCTGTCACATTTTGTCACTGGTCGGTCAAACTCCCTTGCTGGAGAACTTGTGGTCTGCAAAGAGTTGTCAGTGTGTTGTGGAGCTGCACCTAACGTGTCTGTCTTGTAAGTATACCCTGAATGTTCAAAGTGGGGGTCTCTTACACTCATCCTTTGGAGGGCTGAGCCTATAAAGCTGTGATCCCTTCCGTGTCAATTAGAAGTATTTTTCCAGCTGCTGTAGTCTCCCAAGTGGGTAAATTGCGATGCTTTCCCTCAAAGCAGGCAGATATTGTCTCCCTTTTAGTATTTCTGTTACTCACTTTGGTGTAGGATCTTTCCTGGCCCAGCAGTTGATGCAGCTATTACTCTTCCCTTTGGTTCCAGCCATGTAGAGGACGATGTATTGCTTGTTGGCAGGATAGCCAAGTATGACCTAAACAACTTCAAGTGTCATTCCTGACGCTGGGCTCCCTTGGTGTTTAGCATCAGGGCTGTGCTGGCATGAAAACTACTGTGGGAGGGACTGAGTTGGGAGAAGATGCTGAAACTGGCCCAGGCATGCACCCACCCGTGGGATGTCCTTGTCTTTTCTAGGAGTCTCCTTTGGGAGCTCGCCTTCCCCTTGGTGCTTTGTGGTACATGGCCTCCCTCCAGCAGCTTTCAGCCGTGTGAACGTGTACACGAGGCTTCAAGGTTGGGATGGCCGACTGCCCTGCTTCTGCCTTATTCACACCTTGTTAGCATCCCAAACTGGGAATAATTAGCAGTGTGTATGGCTACTCAGCTGTCAGCTTATTTTGCACATGTTAGAAGGCTAGTATTTAGGCTACCTTTCAAGTGATGTTGATGCTACCCACAATTATTCATATAGAGAGAGTACACTTGGAATTACAGTAAGTAATTGCATGGTATGATTTGAGCTGAAGGAAGTTACACCCTTCCTGCTTATGGGGTAAATTGTGATAAGTCTTAAGTAACAGCTACAGCCTTGCTGGATTTGAGAAAACTCTTCTGAGAGATGATTTGGGGTCTACCTAGCCAACAAGCCTCCTGCGCAAAGCAGGTCTGTGTTAATATATTTGTCAGCCATATAAACTGAAGCCTTGCTTGTGTAGCTTGAACTCGGGTTTAAGCTATCCTATCAGTGTATGATGGTTGCAGGTACTCCTGGGGTCACTCTTTCAGGGAAACACCCAGCAATGTTAAAGTGAAGTCTTTTTAACCCAGGAAAACTTGGATTCCTGGTCTGGACGTCTCCTTTTAATAGTTAGTTGTCCCTATGATTCTGTCAGTGGTTTTTGAGGCACAGAGCTATTTGAGTATCTGAATGCTGCTTAAATTAAGCTGGTTTCTTGCAAGATTTTGTTTTGATCATGCATATAATTATAGTCAAATCAGAAATAGGTACATTTAGATTAAATGTAATTAGTTAGCATTTCTTTTTAGCTCAGGCTAGGCTAAGAAGAGGAAGAAAAGATTTCTTCTTGATGCTCTGTTGAAATGGGAAGAGTAGTTCCGGGACAGCTGGTATGTTGGAATTAAGAGTCTAACTGAACTTCAAAATCAGATGCTTGATATCATCATTACATGGAGACATTGATTAATATGGGAAATATAAAATGTCTTCAATATTTGGCAAATTAAATACATCAGTTCTTAAAAGAAAATAAAGCCTTCATCTTATGAAGCTCTTTAGTGTCATGGTTATGTTAACATAATAAGTACTAGGATAAAGGATTAAAATGTCTGCCATGCTGGATGGTTTTGAGTCTAGACATACATCAGAAAACTTACAAGAAAAAAATCTGATAAGTATGAAAATGAATCCTCGGCGATGAAGGATTGCAATTGTTTTGTGAAAAACACGGGAAGCCCAACATCCCGTGAGTGCATTGGGACTTAACAAGCAATCCTGCAGAAGAGAGACTTGACGACCAAATGTTTATCCTCTCAAATGTGAAGTTTCCCACGGTTGAGAAATAGTATTTTTAAATCTTTGAGCAAGAATTGTATATGCATTAATATAATTTCTTGTTGAGTTTCTTGTAACACTTGGAAACTGTTCGCTAGTTGGCTGGGTGGTTAGGCTTATGATGATAAAAGCTTTCAATAAAGGAATTAAAATATTGGCAAATGGCCTTGAATGCCTGTTGAAACAAGTCTGAGCAGAACCCTCGCTTGGCTTAATATATTTGGTGCATTAGCAGTTATGAGTTCTGGTGTCCTGGAACGTTCTGGTGTCCTGGAACATGCTGGTTCTGGGAGCATAAGAGATGGGATCCTGGATTAGGTGTATCTTGGCTCAGCTCTTGCAAAATAGTGAGGTTTGAATGTTCTTACTGTTTTTGCAGCTGTCTTTGGGTCCTAGTTTCTATGTCTCCCTGCATCCATACTACCCACACTTCATGAAATTTTCTTCATATCAGCGTGATGAGAATTGAGGTGTTTGAAATGTATGCTATAGGCCGAGTACTGTCTAAACCATTAATAATGGCATGTGGTAATGGGCTAAACCTGTATCGGTTTAGCTGATTTGTTTCAGGCACTGTGTTGTATGAACTGGTTTAATGGTCTTTTTGAGAGCAAACTGGTATGTTACAGAAGAGCTAGGCTTATAGCTTAGTGCTGCCAAGAGTCTGAGGTCCTGGTACAACTGCTTGCTCTTCAGTTACACGGCCTGTGCCAGCTTCGTTGTTCATCATTGCAGAAACAGCTTAGCTGGCTAAGCTAGCAGAAGATCACCACTTCTTAACCAGGTTAGCTTTCGCTGAGCTAGCAAGTTGAGTCATTTCAATGAAGGATCAAGAGTGGGCAGCCAAGGTGCAGAAAGGGCTGATGTGGATCAGTCTGAACTGTGCGGAATGGCAGCCTCTGCATCTTCCTTTTATGGTGTACATGTGTTTATATTAAGATTACTGTTAGATTTTTTTTTTCCCTCTGCGTTTTAAACATATTTTGTCTATTTAATGAGATCCTTTGAAAAAGAGCACTAAACATAGAGACATTGTTGCATTATTCCCTCTTTGGAACTGTGCTTTGTCTGAAAGGCACATTTATCAGGAAAGATTATTTTTCAAGAGAGCTGCTGGGATTAATGTCACTCATCAATTGCACATGCATAAAACCACCTGAGAGTTTTAAAAACTGTTAAAAGGCATTCTAGTTCATTTTCTTTATAAAAAAAAAAACTTGAACTGGGTTTATGAGTTTCCTATGGCTGTTATTTAATGCTAATTTCTGCTCCTTAAGCACAGGCATGCTTGGAGATCTAAGTTTATAAAAGGTCATGGCTGCATACGATAGTGGAGGACTGGACCTTGGAGTGTCTTCATGAGTTAGCACTGCTCGCCCAGAGATCAGGCTAGACATAGCTTCCAGAGTAGCTAGTGATGTCTGGGAGCACTCTATATTATCTTTTCTGGGAGACTATTGTTTGTCTTTCCTCCAGCCTCTAAGAGGCCTGTTTGGCTGGCATGGATGTTGTGGAGACTTTCATGTTTTGAATCTGTGTTCTAGAGTCTGCTTAAATACTTATTTTGAGTGAAAGAATATAGCTGAGAGCCCTATGGAAAGGTGATCTTTCTAATGAAAGGCTCCTGTTCTTCAGAACTTAAAAACAAATATCCAAGGAGAAAGGACCACCAAGACTGTGACGGGCAGTCCACTGCCTTCGCAGGTTTTCATGTTATAGATACTTCAAAAGACTTCATACTGTATTCATTCTACATACGTATGGGACACAAAACATTTCCTAATAGCCAGCAAAATTTGTAATCTATAGTGAAAGATCAAAAGCTGCCTCTACAATATAACACAGGAAGGAAGAAATGTTTCACTTTAAGATTCCAAGTATGTTGATCACAAAGTTCAGCTGTTTTGTTGGGATGAGCTGGAGGTGGCAAGGTGGTTGTGCTGTTAATAGCTTTTGTGCGTGCTGATGGCCTTTGCTTGATAGCTCAGACCTAAGGGTGCAGATTGACATGAAGAGAAATTTAAAAGCAGACTGTTACTTTGTTTGGATCAGATGGTCTGGAAACATGACTTAAACTTAAAATAATCTATAGTCAAATAATATGTAACGTAGGTAATTGCATCTCTCTCTTCTTTCCTTTTCAGGTGGCTATGGTAGAAGTTCAGCTAGACGCAGAACACGACTACCCTCAAGGTCTCTTGATAGCCTTCAGTGCCTGTACTACTGTCCTTGTTGCAGTTCACCTTTTTGCACTCATGATAAGTACCTGCATCCTTCCAAATATAGAGGCTGTTAGCAATGTGCATAATCTCAACTCTGTAAAGGAATCTCCTCATGAGCGTATGCATCGGCACATTGAGCTTGCGTGGGCCTTTTCTACTGTCATTGGGACTTTGCTCTTTCTTGCAGAGGTAGTGCTACTGTGTTGGGTGAAGTTTCTTCCTTTAAAGAAGAAAACTGATAATGCACTCCAGAGCAACTCCAGTTCTACCATCACATCAGGACAGGCAGCAGCCATTGCATCAACGTCTATTATGGTTCCCTTTGGATTGATTTTCATTGTCTTTGCAGTCCACTTCTACAGGTCACTGGTGAGCCATAAAACAGACAGGCAATTTCAAGAACTGAATGAACTTGCTGAATTTGCACGGCTCCAGGATCAGCTGGATCACAGAGGTGATACTGTCTCCTCAGCTGTTACCCATTTTGCATAAACCTGTACTTAAAGAAAATAAACCCACTATTCTGCTTCTGCCTTGTTATATTGACTCTCCTGTGGATGAACTGGTCAAACTGTTGATTACCGTTTAAAGAGAGATTATAAATGTTGTTCTAACCCTTTAGAGAGGAAGAAAAATGTTTTCTTTTCATAAAATCTTGGCTATCTGATGTGTGAAGAAATGGATGGTGGGGTATGGTTGCACTGCTCGTGCATCCCTCCTCTTGTGAGCACTGTCTAGATAGCTTCTTGTTAATGCTGAATGGTGGCTGTATAAATACATGGAAAATAACATTTGGGTATTTGTTAGGGATGGATAGAGAAGCTTTTTTTTTTCCTCTCTTTATTTGATGTTGGCATTTACTAGAAGATACTGCTTGTCCGATCCATATTGCATGGCATGATACAAATTACTTGGGATATGCAGCAATTAGCACTTGGTTTCAGTGCTAGTGCTGTTCTCTCTAGAAAGCCTGGCAGATGGTAAAAGTGAAAGCTTTCCCACCACTTTCCCCAGTATGTTTTGCTGCCAAGTAATTATTACTTTACTGATTTCTCCAGCGCCTTTTTCCCGTGGCAGTTACATATTTTATAACTCGCTAAACACCCATGACTAGTCTTACTGCGATGTGGTATGGACAAATGAGTAGGAATGAGACTCTACTCTACTCTTCTTTGGAAGAAAATAAAAGCAATAACTGTTTTAAAGTTCTGATGAGCCGGCACATATTATCTGGAGAGATAGATTTGCCTGTTTCCCATTTAGGAATCTTTTTTTTTTAAAAAAGAAGGAACTAGATGGAAATTATCACTGGATAATTTTTTTGCTTGAAAATCAGAACTACTGCTGTGGTTTTTTCCAAGCCAAAGTAGTAATTATTTTGTACTTTTATATTTAAAAATATTTTTAATAAATCTTCAGATACAAGCAGCAAAAGATGCTTTCTCTGCGTTGGATTCCCAAGTAATTAGCTATGCCTTGGTCTTCCTTGTTTAGAAAAAGTCTTCTCCTTGCTGAAGTGTTGTATTTAATAACTTGTTATACATTTTTTGTTTCCAAAGGATCTGGAAGACTACTTTTTTCTATGTAGATTTATTTATGAAAGTAGGTTATTTGTAATTAATATTGCTGCTTACTTTCAGACACACAAGTCTGTGACAGTGAGGCTACTGTGTCTTTTCTTTATTTCCTCTTTAAGCAAAAACTTCCATTTGGTCTCTTAGATAAGAGGTTTGTTGAAGAAAGATTGCAGCAGTTGTCCTGGGCTGCTTCGGTAATTCTAGCTATGTCTAGAAGTGGAATTTTTTGGAATGCAGTTCTTCTATGGAGCAGCTTTGGGCTTTAATGGGTAAAACCTGGTTTTTTAACAGAAACTGAGACAGGTTTCAAGTCTAATGGAACAAAACTTGACCTCCCTACTGTAGCTAATGCTGTGGAATAGAAACCTGGGATTTTGAAGTTAGGCAGGCGTGAACGTGACAATACAGTGGAGCTGTACCTGAATGAGCCTGAGCTGAACGTGGTTTCTTACACCCAACCTCCATCTCAGGTTATCCTGACATATTTACAAACTGTAGGATGTCTACAGAGTTAGGATGGCAGAGTGTGTTTACTACTGAAGCAGCCTCATGAAGTGAACGGGACAGATTTCTCATGTCAGCACCACCGCAGTGGAAAGTGTTGACAAGGTTACCCATGGTGCGTTTGTTTTCTGAAAAATAACCGTAAAAAAACTGCTGGGCTTTTTTTTTCAGCAGCATTCTTGGTTCACAAGCAGAAAACAGCTTTCTACTTGCCGTTTTCACAAGTCCTTCTGGCATACAGAGGCCAAACTGGATTTTCTCTAGCTCTGCCATTACATTATGCTTCAAATATACTCTATTACTGATGTAAATCTGCTGATGGTGAGAATTGTGACTACTCATTCATGGAGCATGGGAAGGATTTTGTTAGTAAAGGCATTAATGAAGCAGCATTCCAAAAGACAAAATCTTGGTATTAGGCACAAAATGTATTTTCCCATCCTTTACTGGAGTACTAGTCCTGTCTTGGGGAAAAAAGACTCTTAAAAACCCTCAGTAAAGAAAGAAAACCTGACTCAACATTCACACTAGAGAAAATGGTTGAAAAGGGGCTGTCAGGCTTAAAAATTATGCTTCTGTCCGTAAATTGTGTATTTAAAAGTTACAACATGATTTTGAATGGAAGTCCAGAAAATATATTTTCCAAGTTTATGTTGTAAAATTACTTGCTGTCCTGGATAAGTAGCTGAATTTCTCTCTATTTTGTGGATCTTTTACAAAGTGACAGAGTGGGGTTTTTTGTTTTTAGAAAATACAGAATTAGAAGCTAGTGGAACAACCTTATTTTTAACTTTCTCAAGCTGGTAGGTTCTGAGCTAATGGTGCTGTTATTACAGCTGCTTTTCTGACTATTTTCTGCACTTTAAGCTGTGATAGCGAGTATGTTTCTCTCATTTTCCAGCTGTGGAAATGGTCATTGAAGTTACACCTTGGGCACAGTCTCGTAACTGTGTGCCAGAGGCAGTAATCAGACCCAAACACATGATCTAAACATTTAAGAGTGCACTTAGAATTTGTTTTTTATCCCATATTTATACTAATGGTATTATGCATTTACCTCAAGCATTTTAAACATTGGTTATTGTATATCATTTATTTAGATATAAAATACTTCAGTGAAATAAAATATACTCTATTGTTGCTGATTATTTGTTATCTAGAGGCCTAAAATACGCTTGTTTTCTTTATGTCCCTTATCTCTTCAGTTATATTGTGCTAATCCTAACTGTGTATTTCTGAAGATCTCTTAAATGTATTCAGTTACTCATCTCAGTCATAATACGAAGATAAAATTTCCTGTTCACACAGGCAGGTATAAAGAATATAACATAGTTGACGTGCTTTTCCTCCTGTCAGCACTGCTTAAATCGTGGGACTAAGCATGTTGTGGTGTTGTTATTCTCTCCGAGTGCTTAAACAGAAAATTAAGTTATCTTTCAGCTTAGAAAACGTGAAGAGTCAAGGGGCCAAATTAACTGTAAGCCAGAGGTGATACTCGGAAGCTCTGTATTTATCAGGTGAACTAATGACCCATTCTCCCACAGTTTGTTTTTCGGCAGCCAGTTGCAGTGCCACCTTCCTTTGGTCTTGAGGGTGACGCTCAGCAGCGCCTCGCAGATCAGAAGCGCCGCAGCTCTGCGTGGCTGGCGCATGGTCCTTGTGTCCGGTAGAAATGGAGCAGCCGGCGCAGTGCCGTAGTGTGCCAGGGGTCCAGCACGTGGGCTGGCCAAGGAGCAGAGCTGGGGTGAGATCTGGTGCTCTGCATTCCCGGGGGTTAGGGAAGAGAACCAGCATCATGTTACGGAAAATGCACAGAGAGAGCAAGTAAAGTTGCATTAATACTAATTGAAACATGATCTGTTATAACTTCAAAAGCCATCTTGGGTCACAGGTATGTATTGGGCTAAGTTTGCGGGGAGTGGGAGGGGACAATTATTTGACTCTGCTTTTTTATGGCTTTGGTTTTATAGCATGTAGTAGAAACCCTGCTTCTTCTCTAAGGCAATGTGAAAGACCTTGAAACCAACAGGAGTGCTATTTCTTTACAGGAAGAGTAAGTCAGGGGCGCTGGGCAAAGAGTCACTCTGCCTGTCTTCCCACATCTTGCTGCTTGTGGTTTTTCTCTTTTTTTTTTTCCTTCCTTTTTTCCTTTCTTTTCCAAAATAATGGGGGGTGGGAGGAGGCTTCTGAGCAAAGCCATGTGCACAGTGAAGCATACATGGGCAGCCTTGAGGGAAAAGTGAGGCAGATCATGACACGATACACCGCAGTGTGGATTTGAGACTCAAATGAATAAGTAACCCAGAATCGTGTTCTTATCTTGCATCTTTTTTTTTTTTCCTTCAACATCTGGTTATTAATTTTGGCTGTCATCAAACATTGCCTGGGCCTCTGCTAAAACACCATCTGGATCAGCTAGTTCAATCTAAATAAAAAGAATATAAATCAGTTATGCAGTGTAATTGAAGAAGCTTAAGGTTTTATAGATCTTGATTACTCGAGCATTAACAGAGAATCTCGCATGTACCAGGACTTTAGTTTATACTGCAGCCTTTCAATTATTGTTTTAGAAACATTGCTACACTTTCCTAATTTTATCAGCCTGTTGAACATCACTTCATCTCCTTGAAATAGCTCTGCTATTTCAGTGGACTGATTCTCCTTTAACAAAATGCATTCTTAGACAGAACTGGCTTTGATTTGTTGTAGCCTGTTGTGTCTCCCCTATAGTTCTAAAATCTGAGTAATTGCAGTCACCCAAGTGAGCATCAAAGGTCACATGAAAGCAGGAGTCTGGAGTCGTGTAACCTGCATGCACCTGGATGCGGGTTCTTGAGAGGGAAGCACCAAAGCCCTGCCAGGAACTTGTCATCTCACTCTGACTGGCTTTATGTCCTGATCCTTTCAGGCGGGTTCATGTGTGTGTGGTGGTCTTCCAGGCAGAAGATGTTCGGTCTTTTCCTCATTTATTTTGTTATGCTCTCTGAAGCCTTGGCTTCAATAATTATAATAGCAAATATCCCAAGTCCACCATGTGTCTTTCCCTGTCTCTGCAGTTATGTTCAAATTCTGCCGTGATGCAACCCCATCATCTACATACTGGATTGCTTCAAAGCTTGTGACAATCGCTCCCTAGTTTTCAGCCATTTTCTGTCCTGTTTGTTCCTTTTACCTGCTAATGAAGACATACAGTGATGCTTCCCCCATGCAGAAGTTCATATCCTCACTGCTAGCCTCTTGCCAGGCGAAAGCTGACTATTTAGTCATCTCTGGTTTTGGCAGTTTCTAACGCTCACCTGTCATCTACTTTTCTCTAACAGCCGCTTTGTGACAGTAATTTGACAAAAGGTTTATGAAAATCTGAAGTCAATTCTTCTCCTTTTATCTGTTACTTCCTTCATATTTTGAGATCAATAAAACTCTTCCTATGGAAAGCACAATAACGGCAGTGAA